GTGTGTGTGTGTGTGTGTGTGTGTGTGTGTGAGAGAGAGAGAGAGAGAGAGAGAGAGAGAGAGATCAGTCTAGGTTTGACCTTGTTTTATTTGGGGGGTTGGTCAGAAATTGGCTGACCTCTTCAGCCTGGAACTTCAGTGATTTTCTTGGGCAGAAATTCAGGGGATCCCTATGCTGGCTGCTTTGAAGGGTCTTGGAAGTGTCCTTTGGATTTATGCCGGCCTTTATGCCGGCCTGTCCGTGAGCGGTTGAGCAAAGTTCTACTTTTCTCAAAAAGGTTGTCCAGTCTTATGCCCGTGCTTTCTTGTGGTGCTAGATGAATTTACTGCCCATACTGTCCTTGGGTCGCTCTGCACTTTCCTCACACTTCGGTTTTCCACTGTTTTTCCTCGGGAATGCATTCCATCGTCCACTTTTTTTTTGGTTTCTTTTTTCTTAATTTGGACCATTTCTTTATTTATGCATGTCCTTCTTGCGCAGGGGTCATGCTAATCTTCTCTGTGTTCTTCCAATTTTTAAAGTATGTTTTTATGAATCGGGATGACCGCAGAAGCTTGAAGAACTTTGACAGACATGGCAAATTGTATGAAAATGGCTGAGCTTGGTGTAGGGGTTGAGGTTGTTTGTTTGGTGTTTGAACAGGTGGCTTCCAAATCCATCATTTGTTTGCACCGCCTCGGCTGTTTTGATGCAAAATTAATCTCATGAGGGTTTTCTGTTGGGGTTTGGACAGGTTGCTTCCAAATCCGTCCATTGTGCGCACCTGGACTGTTTCGATCTGCAAACTCATCTGATGCTAAATGCACACCGAACCATTTCAGCGAAGACGTGGAAGTGCCCTCACTGCAAACAGAGTGCCTCATGGAACGAGCTTATTGTGGACGCTTATGGTATGGATCCGCCGGCCCATTCCTTTGTTTTGTCTCGCTTTTCCAGTGCTTTTGTTGTGCTACAGCTTCCCCCCTACCCTTCTGTTGTGGCATCTCTTCATCCTCCTCCTGTTCACTCTTTAACCTGTCCAGTTACTCCAGTAGGAAATGACTCGAATGAGAAAGTAAGGTTAATACGCCTGTCTTTCTAAAATAACGTTTTTGCAGAGAATACATTGGGGCTTTGCAGAAAGCATTTTCCACGCCAATGAGCTGAGCTGGGCAGGGAACCTGAGCTCACTGTCAATCATCAATCAAGTCTGTTCTGGAATGATTCGAGTTGGAAGGGTGGAATTATATGAGTGCAAGTAAAGTCCAGCCACAGTGAGGGCACAAGAGGATGGAAAAATGCATGCAAAGCGATGAATGAACCTGTCAGTGAAGCAACAGCTTGAGCGCTCTCTCTGCTGTCTTTTCGTGCTGACATATAGGAACCAATCAGTGCTTGACCCTGTCAAGATCATAAGAAATACAGTGAAGCCACAGTGTAAATCAGTCTAGAAGATGTTCAGTGGGACGCTGGACCCGTTTTCCAGCAGGTGCTGCTCCCCACCATTAGATTGGAGCAACCAGGCGGCCCACTCGGAGGGGATGCTCATATCACACCCCCTAGTGTTGCAGCATGGTTTTCCAAAAAAAAAAAGAAAAAAAAAAAGAAATATAGTGCAGCAAACGCAGATATGTCAACTGTCTTCCCCCGAATAGAATTTACGGCCATTACAACTGTATTTGGGGCAAATTTAAGTCTAGATGCAGGGACAAATGAACGTATGGTCTATTCGGGGGCAGAAGGTAGCCAGTTGTCAACAATTTAGACCTGTTAAACGCAGAGAGCAGCAGCACGCATCTCCAGAAAGCCAGCACCAGTGCCGCACCTCCAATACGGGCCCAGATGAGGCAATCCTGGTAGGCCAAGGCAGGAGCCAATCAGTGAAGGCCTCGTCTGGGCCAGTGTGAAGAATGTGGGGGTTCATAATTTTTACTCTTTTGTTCTTTTTTCTATCTTTTTACATAACACCCGCGTGAGGCATTGCATGCAATAGATTACACGTGTTTATCAACTGGTATGGCCGCAGTGCACGTGCATTACCCTTCTAGCCGCTTATGCTCGGGTAACGAGTTTGTGTGCTTGTCTTGCCAGAAATAACCTCTCGAGATACTCACGTGTCCACGCTCTCATCTCTTACTCACGTCTCCGCAGCTCGTACCTGTCCCATGCTGACTACCTTTTTCAGTCTGATGGTGGTTTGACTGGCAGCCTTCTTCCTTGCAACACTCTTGTTGCCAAGTGTCTGCCTCAAAGTGCTACCTCATCCCTTACCTAGCACTGCGCCTCCTAGCTATATCCTTCTCTCCTGTGTCCTCCTAGGTATGGCGGCGTTGACCTCTCTCTCTCTCTCTCTCTCTCTCTCTCTCTCTCTCTCTCTCTCTCTCTCTCTCTCTCTCTCTCTCT